ATTTCAACGGATATCTTATTTTTATTCGCTATCTTGTCAATTCATCAAAAAAATTTCTTTTCACTGTTAAGTTTAAGGTTTTTTTTGAGCACCCGAGATACACAGTTGGGACAGTTATTGAATCATTGCGTGATAATATAAGTGATCGTTATGAGAAAAAAAAAACAAAAATTGGCCATTACTATTGCGAAAGTTGGGGCGTTGATGTTAACGATTTAGATTGTATCAAAGGGTAATTGATATTCAAATTTAGTTGATTTTTGAGTTTTATTTTGCATAATGTGTCTTTTCTATGACTGATGTTCAGGAAATGGCACTGGGACATTCGAATATGATGTTGAATAATTATGAGGCGCATGGGTTTTGATTTAGTCTACATCTGAGGTTGGCAATTTAAACTTAAAAGCCTAGTCTTAATCTCCTAAGTAGTAATAACAGGACGAAGTTGACATTAAGCGGCTAAGCCCAATTTTTCATAGACCTTACTTAATTAGCACATCATTTTTTGCCAGGCTCGGAAACCAAATACCGTCAACATCCATAAAAATACTGCTAAATCCCTCCAAAATACCGCCTAGTATCCGAGCCTGGATTTTTTGCACCTATGGACATAATTTCACAATATACAGCAAGAATCCATATTTAATATAAAAAAATAAATCCATCAGCTCTTGTTATTATTCACGACTTAACAAATCCCATTTCAATTTTAATATTTCACTTTCTTTCTAGATCGAAATTCCAACGAGATTTTAAATATGACAAAATAATGGCTAATGGACTTCCACAATCGATCCACTTTCCATCTCTCAAAAACCAATTTTCACGATCAGGAATTCATTTCATCACAATCAATCATGATCTGTCTTCAATATATCCAATAAAAACCATCGCATTTACACTACATCGCTCGGGATATCAAGTCGGCATCTAACTGAAATAATTTTTTTTTTCAGCTGCATGGCATTGAGCGGCACATGAACAGAAAAGATCTCTTATTTTGTTTGTTGTTTCTCATTTAATATTCAATTTATTGCCCACTCATCACTTCTGTCTATCTACATTGATCTATCAATGAGCAATTTTTATGCTGTACGTCAATCGACAAAATGTCCATGATTGAATCAATTAATCGTGGCAAGAAGCGAAAGTGAAATTGTGCAGCATTTAGCGATGAGTTTTTTTTTCTTTCCTTCATTATTGATTTTTCATGTCTGATATGAGATATGCACGCAACATGTGTGGAATATTTAATGATTTTTACTTGATTATTAATGGCATTGTTTAACAACTTGTTATTAGCATGGATAGAGCATGAATAAATAGCCGGTATTATATTATGAATAGAAATATCCACGAGTATAGATTAAATTACAGTCTTTGTTGACCTAACATCTTCTGCCACATTGTAATGTTTGTGAATTATGCAACTGTTCAGTTCTTTTGACATTTTACATTTATTTCTTGTTCTTATTTTTGTTTTCCGCATCATTTGACACTTTTTTGTGTGTTTTCTGTAGACAAAGGGCTGTCATGTCCTTAGTTTGTCTTTATGTCTATTTGTCAATATCGTGGCAATGATAAGACGTTTGTGTTGATGTCTATCTGTTTGTAAATCTATCAGACTGTCAATTTGTGTAACCTTTCGACCATTCTATCGTTAATTCATCTACCTGACTGCCAGTTCTTTCATGTGTCTATCTATTTGCTAATCTTTTCATGAATTCTCAGTTAAAAATGCTTTCCAGCCTCACAACATCGATCTTTTTGTCTAATTTTACAGCATTCCCTTTCCGCCTTCAGCTTGTTGTCAAATAAAGTCACTCGCATGTTTATTTATTGCATTTTCACAGTTTTTGTCTTAATTAATGTGGAAATTGTTTTTCTTTACTTTTCACTTTTCTTTTATTTCTCACTTAATTTATGGATTTTCAATATTGTATTTTTTTCCATATCCCACACATGTCATCTCATTCTGTGCGTTTAAGTGAAGTACTTCAATTACAGGAAGTATGTAGAATGTTGTGAAAAATAGGGAAAATTTCGTGATGTGATTTAATGATTTATTTAAGAATTTAAGGGCGCTAATTTTAGATTGTATTGGAATCGTGTGGAGTTTGACTTTTCTGAGTTTTATTTATTTTAGCAATGCAATAATTCCTGAATATGCTTGCACATAAATTAGGAGCTATATTTTTTTTTGATCGACATGAAAATTTGCAGGTCTTATTGGAATGTTTTGCTTAAAAAATAAAGTTCGATTTCTAAAATGCCTTAATCTCCTGGCTACATCCCTGAATTCACATTGCCGGATTCTTAATTAATGATCGGCATTTAATATAGAATTTATATTCCATTGTTCAGTTCAAATCATGACATTTTTCACGACTTAAACCTACAAAAATTAAGAATTATAAATCCTTGAAATATTGCAGGAGGTTCCCATTAAGTTTTTAATAAAATTGCACCTTCCTTATTAATACTTAAAATCTCCACAATTTCTCATGAGATTGCCGAAAAATGAGAAATTCAATTTACATCCCACAGAAAAAAAATCTCTCTTCTGAAAAGTCAACAAACATTCGTTAAGAATTCATCACATACTTAACATACAAAACAGAATTCAGTGAAAATTACACGAATGATACTTTTCATTTGTCACCAGCTACCATTCATTCATTTACCGCACTACTGCTGACTGCTGTTTAATGCTTCGTTACCATAAATATAAATATAAAAGAGACTAGTGTCATTCAGCTTATTTTTTTGTGTACAATGATACAGCCGAAAATCGAGAAACGGAATGCTTAAAAATAGAACAAAAAGAAGAAAGAAAATGTAAACAAACTGATCGCTGGATGTTGAATGTTTTTGTTGGATAGAAAACATTGAAAAACACTAGACATTGTTGATAAAGCATTAAAACATTGAGATGCATCAACAACCTAGGTCGAAACATTGAAATCATGTGTAAAAACATTAGCAACTCAGCAAAAACATCAACAACTGCCAAAAAACATAAATTTTTAATGTTTCCAGCATCTTTCGCAATGTTTGTACTGCATTCGCTGTTGACTTGCTGTCTTGTGTTATTTCTTTCCCATGTTCGGTCGGCACTTTCAGTGTTACTTGATTCGCGAAACCCGCAAGTTGTATTTTCGAACAAATCTCGTTTGGATTTTTGTTTAAAGGCAGAAAGAGTTAATTTTTTGTTGTTTTTCTGTTTTTTTTTGCCATCCCAAAAAAATTTATTTTTTTGTTGAACTGGAAAGAAAATTTTTTGAGTTCTTCTTATTTTTTGGATACTCGAGAAGTTCTTGAAAGAATAAAAAAAAAAATCTTCTGATATGAAGAAGTTGTGTGAGTGGAACAAGAAGAATCACGAAAGAAAATAAGAAGCAGTGAATTTTGAGTGTTTTAAAAAATTACATAAAATTTTTTTTGCAATTATATTTTAATAAAAAGAAGCAAAACATCTTCGATGGTAAAAAATATATAAAAATTTGAGACCAATTATGGATGATTTTCATAGTGAAATTTACTTAATGTAATTTTGTGTGCAAAAAAAAAATATTTTTTATGAGAATTGCATTACGTTGTGCTGTTAATTGTCCTGGAAATTTCTTTTCATCATATTTAGTGTTTATATTTTTATTGGTGGGTAGTGACGTAACAGAAGAAATTTTGTGCATGAAGTTTTGCATTCGAAATAGTTTGTGATGTGCTTGCAAAAATTTAAAAAAATTAAATTTCAAATTCTAGCTGAGAATTGAGCAAAAAATGTTATATAAAAAATATTTGTGGTGAAATTTGAGTTGATAATTTCCAAAATTTGATTTAAGATTTTAAAGTAAAATTAAAAACTGTTTAAGAATAAAATTCAAAAAATTTTAAAAATGATTAAAATTATAATTTAAAGTTCAAATGTGATTTATCTTTTGAACTATTAATTCTGAAGAATTTTTGTGATGAATCAAAATTTGAAGTTTTTGGAGTCATAGAAATCTGATTTTTGGTAACATTAAAACAGTGGATTGAAAATTATGTGGACAAACTATTACTCAAATTTTATCAATTTATTGAAACTCCAAAAAAAAAATTAAAATAGTGAACTGATTAGTTAATAAAATATAAAAGTAACGGAGCATCTCTAGATTTTGATCTAGACGTGATTTTTCTTGATGAAACATGATTTTTTTAACGATGATTGCACTGAAAAATATCCAGAATGTGTCATAAGAATTTCACACTTTCTTAGAAAATGAAATTCGTTATTAATTGTAATAAACTCAAACAGCAGTAAAATAAATTGGAGGATTAATTTTACTTTTATATTGAACTTTTTGAATTTAATTCCTTTTAACATTTATAAAAAATTTAATTTTTTCTGAAAATTTTAAAAAAATCCAATAATGTGCAACACTTAGATTTTTTTGTTGTTAATTAAAAGCGTGATTACAATTTTTAAAATTTCAATCAATTTTAATGAATAATTTGATCTAGAACTTGGGTTTTTTTGGTTTTATGAACTTTAAAAATTCATGATAATTCCAAAATAATTTTCTTCTTGCTGAATTATTGCAAATATGAAAAATCATAATTTTATTCACTTGTGTTTATAAAATCCAGCAACATTTTAAAGTGGCAATTAAAATGAAAACTTCTAAAATTTTATTAAAATCCATTGTGTATCTCAAGTTTATTTGATAGTCCAAAGAAAATCAATGCAAATTTCGACCCAAAAATCCACACGTTTTCCATAAAAAAAATTTCAAATGCAAAACTTCTGCTCAAAAAAAATATTTTAAAAATTTTATGATCAACAAATTTTTTTTGTATCTCCACAGAACCATAAAAAATAACAAATTAATTAATTCCAAAAAAATAAGAAAAAAATTTCTTCATTCGCAAAACGAGCCAAGAATCTTAAGATTTCTTCTTAATAATCAAGACGGAATAATATGTGAAAGAAATTGAGATAATTTATTCAAAAAACAGTGAGGCAGTGAAAAAAATATCAAAAAATAATAAAAAATGTGAAAAAGATACTCGCAGAGATTTTAAGAAGTAAATTTATTGAAAAAAGAAGATTAAAGCATAAAGAAACGAGATTTGAAGCATTCAACAAGCCAATAACATTTCGCGAATTAAAAGTTCAATAATTGTTAGATTTTTGTTTTCGGTGGAATTGAAAAATCCACACGAGCGATCGAGTGAAAGAGATTTAAATTTGATAAAATAATAATAAAAAAAAATCCAGTGTCTTCAACATAAAACAAAAACAAAGAATAAAATAAAAAAATCTACAAAAAAGGAAAATAGGTAAGTGTGCCTGCACGATTATTGATGTTCAGATAAAATGAGAGGAAAAAATACTTTTTTTTTGCTTTATCACATTCAATTTCCTGTACGAGCTTTTACTTCACTTTTAATGTACACACACGTTCATGTTGAGAAATATGTTCGAGGTCAAGAGGAAAATCATTATTGATCTCACATTCGATGGTGATTACGAGTAGCAAAATGACTATAGTAAAGAATAAGAGGGACATGATTCATGCATTTGTTGGGTGACTATTTGGGATTTTGTAGGAAGTTGGGGGTTATAGGCATTTTGCCTAGAATGACATTGGTGCAACTTTTAAGCTAGTTTAGGAGTAGTAAAACCCAACTTAGTTCAGATTGTTCTACAAAAAAATTAAAAAACAAGCAAGAAATAATTGAAGAATGTCTCCAGAATAATAAGCAGTCAACCTAACATAAGCCAACAACCTATTCATCCACTTTATATATAAACACAATCGACAACAGAAGAAATTTCCTTTCCTTTTGATCATAAGAGATTTTATACTTCACGTTCTTTCAAGGTCTAGTGGGAAAAATTGTATATTAAGAGGGATATAGCTGAAAGTTGTGAGAATTGTTACTTTCTGTGAAGATTTTTATGCTTTTTAAGTGAATAGCACTTGAGAAATATTTTATGTATTGGATGTTTCTTAATTTTCAGTGAGGAATTTTTCTTGATCAAATTTCAAATGAGAATTTTAGATTTTAATGTTTTTTGAAATGTTATGCAAGTTGTAGATTTTGAAAATAAAATCAATTGAGTTTTTGAGATTAATGCTTTGAAAATTGAGGGTTAAAGTTGTGAATCTGGTTAGACAGTCGCCATATTTTGACCCCCTAAGCAAGCCTTAAAGATTGTTTGATAATCTCTGAATCATCAACGCAATAAATTAATCCAAGTTGAGTCATTTCTATTCAAATGTTCAAACTGCCACATTCACGATAATCTCTTTCAATAGAAACTTCATTGATGATATCATTTTGATATCCAACAATATCAATAATTTCTTCAAAGATTTCCGACATTTCAAAAATACATTTCAGTGCTAATACCGTCAAAAAATATCATTGATAGTATCAACTTGCTTGCTATTTCAATCTTCATATCTGTTAAACATCTGAGCAAATATTCACGAAGCGATAAAACAAAAGAAGAAAAAAATGTTTAATCTTCGAGTTACTAATTTTTTCTGAAGGTGACAAGCAAGTGTCTACTTACAACATCTATTCATATTTGTGCTTCAAAATGTACATTTCTCACTTTTGTGCGGCAACAAGATGTGTTCATTATGGGGATTAAACTTTGGTTTATTTATAAATCTGAGGAGATTTTGAGGAGTTTGATTTGAGTTTTAAGCTCAAGTTGTATTGACAAAATTTGATCTTTTTAAAAAATAGGGGTTTCAACCCAATTAGGTTCAGAATTTAAATAAATTTTTCAATTTTTAACGAGGCTCCAGAACCCCTATTCCTTCATTAAATTGCATTCCTATGAAAAAGACTCCTTTTAGAAATCCAACAATTCACTTAAAAATAAATTTATTAATGAAGAGTTTAAAACTAGAATTAAATGCTACAGAATCTACATGAGAATCCAAGGATATCCAATTTAAAAACAAATCCATTAAAATTATCACAAGAAGGAAACCAAACAGGCTGTTGACTAGTTTTATCATTTCAAATTCGTTCATATTGAACAACTATAAAAAAAAACTCAGATAAACTAGTTAAGTGATTTTATGGACGAGCAGAAAAGACTTGATTTTTATTTCTACTTCTTGTTATTTTAATGCTTTGATATTTCAAACATTTCTTCTTCTTACTCTGATTTGCTGATTTCTTCATGCTTGTTTTGGACTCGTAAATGGCTTGATGATGAGGCAAGAAAATAAAAAAAAAACTGGAATAGATGAACTAATTAACAGGAAAAATTCAGGGATTTTTAATTTGTGGTGAATCTGCCTTTGATAGCAATTTTAATTGAATTTTATTGATAAATAAAGTAGTGCAATAAATGCAAGGCTGAATAGCTGGAATATTCTATAAATCAATGTCTCTGAGAATTGAATAAAATCGATCATATCGAGACTGGAAAAATCACATTCAAGAAAATAGAAAATTGATTGAATATTTTTCAGTGTCAGTGACAAAGATAAATTCAATAAATTTTTTGAATAATTAAAATTTCTGTTTAAAGTCGTGATATTTTGTTTGGAATTTAATGAGTGAAAAGTTCATTTAAATGGGACAAAGAATTCATTAAAAAATTTTAATAGTTCTTTATTTGTGTTAATATTTGATGTTTGAAAGAAAAATCATTAAAAAAATCTTTGGATGATTAGAAGGGGATTGGGAGGGGGGGGGGGGAATTCTAACTTAAATTCGATTTTCATAAAATAAATGAATTTTTTAATATTTTCATTTCTGTTCCCTTAATGAACACGATTTCTTAATTGTTAAGTCACAGTTTTGTGTCGTTGTATGAATATTTATAATATTCACATGATAATCATTATTGTGTAAACTATTCTCTCGTATAATCTTTTGTCAAGTGTAGAATTACTTGCGAATGTCAAATCAATTATTAAGCTACTATAGGTGTCACTACAAAAATTTGAAATTCAAATGAAGTTGTCTAAAAACTTCTATTTTTCAAAGAAAAAAATAAAAATTTATAAAATTTTGAAATTTTTCAACAATTTCCTCTAGAAAGATATCTTTTTACAAATTATTAAAAACTATTTAAAAATACTTATATTTTAAAATCCTCAGAATTTAAAGATTCTGAAGAAGTTTTATATTTATAGCCCCCTAATTATACACAAACTAAGATTTGTAAACAACCATTAAAAAACTCAATAAAATTTGATCCTAAACATATTAAGTTTTTCGACAGATGAAATCAACCTGCTGTGCATTTTTCTCTCGAAAAACAAAACTTAAAGATAGAGTGACAAGTGAATAATGATTGCTGATCGTTATGATAAAGAAATTAAAATAAACAAAATTTTATTTGCTAGGATTGTGTCACTGGGAATTAATATGGAAATTAAATTCTGATGTTTAGTTTGATTAGACTTCATGTGGGGAATTTTTAAAATCGTGTAGATTCTGGTCTTACGACTTAATAAAATATTAAATTTATAATCTTTAAAAAATAGTTTTTTAAATCCTTAACATGAATCAGTGAATTTTTGAAATATTAAGAATATTAAAAATAAAATTCAAAAACTTAAAAATTTAAAAAAAATCAAAATGTAAAATTTTAAGAAAAATAATTCAAAAATTAATATTCAAAAAAAAATTCAAAAAATTAAAATTAAAAACATTTACAAAAATAAAAATTTAAAAAAAAATTCAAAAACATTTTAAAAAATTAAAATTGATATTAACATATTTAAAAATAATCCAAACTTCTATTAACACAAGCATTTTTAAATTATCATGCATACATGCCAATGAACCTATCAAAAAAGAATTTAAGTTCATTTAATTTTCATTTAATTTCCATTTCTGCTCAGACAATAAAAATAAATTTTTTAAAATAATTTTCTCGACTTTTAATGCTAGAACTTCCACATAGCCATATAAAAACCAACAAAATGTTCCTACCTCAAACAAAACTTTATGTACATCCAGCACCAAAAAAAAAAATTATAACATTTCATTTTTACATAAAAACACACTCAAAAAAAATATGAAAATTATTGCATAATAAAACTGTTTTCCATTTTACAATAATTTTTGTGTAATTACTTTTTATGCTTCTTCCATAGCGCGTAGCTGCCTAACAAGCTCAAAAGTATATCGTTCATTTACTTTTCCATTTCTTTCCTGTCTTGTTTGCAAATGAATTTAAAATCGACGACAATTTTTTGCTCATCAAAAGTTCATCATCAAGTAGCTAGCTGTAAAAAAGAGCTGTTTAATTGAAGTGGAAGTAGAAACAAAACTTTCGAGATTTATAGTTTTTTTTTTGTCGTCGACCTTGCCAACTCTCAACTATCGTAATACATTTGATTGTGTGTTCATTGTCAAGAAATAATCGCAAGATAAATATTTTGTCAAACAATGGAAGAAGAAAACCTGAACGTGATCATGGATGATATTTGATATTTTGAGGGGGGAGGTTTTGCTCATGAATTTTATCACGTTTGTTTTATCTGTGAATGACCTAATTAGCTGGTGAATTTTTTTGGTTAATATATCATTAATTAACATTTTAAGACGTAATTGAGTTGAAGCTTGGAGACTTGTTTTTTGCTGTGAATTTAAAGCGCACTATGGGCCAGAAATGGAAAATTTTTCCAAAAATTATTTCTACAGCTTATATGATAGTCCTTATTCTGCCCTACATTTACGTTCTTAAAACTTTGCCCAAGTCGACAGCGTGTCCGAGATATGGCACTTCAAAGTTGGTCAGACGACCATTTTCACGTTACATTGAAAATGCTCTCACCAGTCACTGGATGGATAAATCTCCTTCAATTTTTTTTTGGTAATAGCTTTAAATAGTTCCTTCATTTTAAGGTATAAACAATTGCAAAAAACTTTGGAAAATTTTGTGAAAAACTTGATTTTTCTCAAAAACCACGTGTTCTTCATACTTCCGTTTGTGTAGGTCTTCACAAGCACAACCAAAGTTACTAATTTCTTTTTTATATTAAAGATTACATCAAAAGCTATAACTTTTGCATACATGTCGTATAATTTTAACAAAGTTTTGGTAGTGAAAAAAATTTTTTTTATAAAAAAAACACCAATTTTTTGACAAAAATCGCTGTAGTGCTCCAGGGATACCCATGGTAGTGGAATTTTATTTCACATTTAGAAAGCTCTCTGGATATGCTATCAATTAATGCAGTAAAATGAACAAGTGTTCTCTTGGCAAAGAGCACTTTTTTGACTCTGAAAGTCGTATGTCGAGCAAGGTCAAAAAAGAAAAATAATCATAAAAATTTCAGTTTTAAGTAAAATTTAATTTTTTTAAGTTAGATTGATAGATCTTTTTAAAACGCGTCTTTTGAGTATAAATATGTCATAGTTTTGTCAAGTTTCATGATCAGTTTTTTAAAAAAATAGTTTTTTTCAAAAAAAAACTTGAAAAATAAAGTATTTGACTTTAGAATTTCATAAAATGCATTCTTTTTAACATTTTTTTCACTATTTTGTCTAGTTTTGCTCCTCGTTTTTTCCTAAACATAAATCAATAAGAACTTAACATAATTGAAGCCATTTGGAGGTTAAATTGAGTTAAAAATCGTTTAAAATTTTTGTATTTCTTAAATAGTTCTTTACACAAGTATCTAAGATATAAAGTGTTGCATAGTTTTGAAAAGGTATTAAAATTTCCAATATGTTAACATGAAAATTTTAGGAAAATTTTCAAGTAATATAGTCAATTTGGGTAAAAAACGCATTTTATATATGCTAGTTTTTAATGTTTTTCGTTTTTCTCAGCAAAGACTTTATGAAAAACTCTCAAAGTTTGCACACTTATTTGTTATATAAATGTTAATGACTCGTATAAGTTTTGGAATTTTCTATTGAGTTTTTCATGAGTTCTCCAAATCTGAAATTTTCAATATTAAAAATCCTTTTTTCTCAATAATTCCGATTTTTTATTTATAAATAAATATCTTATTTTGTTTCATTTTTCAATATCTTTTCATTGATATGTAACAATCTACGAAAAAAATAAGACTAGCGAGAAATCAATAAAAAAAGTGTCAAAAATTTATGAAAATTCTACGCTATTTTAATTTTTTAGCATTTTCTGGTTAATTTTATTAAGTTTTGTAAGAGTGTTATACCTTTTTGCAAATTTATAGCTTAAGACTTTCATCTGCTTTCATCCATTAAAATTCGTATGAGTCAACGATAAGCACAACTGAAGTTAAATAAGCTTCACGTTGGCGCAACCAAAAATTTTGAATTTTTTAAAATCAAATTATTTAAAAGCTTTAAATTAAATCTTCAGGCTGCTATTAAATACATGAAACATTTATAAAAAAACTAAATGAAAAAGTTTAATATTATAGCTCAAATAGCATTAAAATTAATATCTGGTTTTCTTCATATGGAACTGTCTTTTGTCGCCAACGTAAAGCTTATTTAACTTCAGTTGTGCTTATCGTTGACTCATACGAATTTTAGTGGATGAAAGCAGATGAAAGTCTTAAGCTATAAATTTGCAAAAAGGTATAATACTCTTACAAAACTTAATAAAATTAACCAGAAAAGGATAAAAAATTAAAATAGCGTAGAATTTTCATAAATTTTTGACACTTTCCCTAGCGAGACTAACTAGCAAATTGCTAGTCTTTCTATTTTACTACTTGCAATTTACTAGTTATTATTAAAACAACTTACTATTAGTAAATTACACTTACTATTCAATAGCAAATTACTAGCAAATTTCCATGAGAAATGTTTGATCAAATCTTCTTAAGTTCGAATCCTACGAAAAATCATCAAAAGAAGAAATTTTTGCATCATAAAAAATTTTGTTCTAAATTTGGCATTTGCCATATACTTCACAAGAGCGTGCAGAAATCACCTTTATAACGTCGATCCAATTTTGTATAACATTCAATTTAATTATTTATCTTCCTAAGGTTTGCGTGCGAGTCATAAGCGTTCATCAGTGTTTGACTTAATTAAATTAAGTCTTTTATTTTTTTTTCGTAGTATTAGTGTACTTTAATTAATTAAACTAAGTACACACTAATACTTTTACAATAATTTACACAAATAAAAAAATCAAAAAAACACGTGGAAATCAACGGTTATATTCATTTAAATTTGTAAAAAATTTGCTAGTAAATTACTAGTTAAATTGTAAGCGAATTGACTAGTCAATTAGCAAGTGAAAATGCGGGTCTTTGGCGATGATTTGAACTTGGATTTTGACTAGTAAATATCAAGTAGCAAATGGAAAGTTATCCAGTAAATTACTAGGAAATTACTAGTAAATTTCTGCTAGGGTTTTTTTATTGATTTCTCGCTAGTCTTATTTTTTTCGTAGATTGTTACATATCAATGAAAAGATATTGAAAAATGAAACAAAATAAGATATTTATTTATAAATAAAAAATCGGAATTATTGAGAAAAAAGGATTTTTAATATTGAAAATTTCAGATTTGGAGAACTCATGAAAAACTCAATAGAAAATTCCAAAACTTATACGAGTCATTAACATTTATATAACAAATAAGTGTGCAAACTTTGAGAGTTTTTCATAAAGTCTTTGCTGAGAAAAACGAAAAACATTAAAAACTAGCATATATAAAATGCGTTTTTTACCCAAATTGACTATATTACTTGAAAATTTTCCTAAAATTTTCATGTTAACATATTGGAAATTTTAATACCTTTTCAAAACTATGCAACACTTTATATCTTAGATACTTGTGTAAAGAACTATTTAAGAAATACAAAAATTTTAAACGATTTTTAACTCAATTTAACCTCCAAATGGCTTCAATTATGTTAAGTTCTTATTGATTTATGTTTAGGAAAAAACGAGGAGCAAAACTAGACAAAATAGTGAAAAAAATGTTAAAAAGAATGCATTTTATGAAATTCTAAAGTCAAATACTTTATTTTTCAAGTTTTTTTTTGAAAAAAACTATTTTTTTAAAAAACTGATCATGAAACTTGACAAAACTATGACATATTTATACTCAAAAGACGCGTTTTAAAAAGATCTATCAATCTAACTTAAAAAAATTAAATTTTACTTAAAATTGAAATTTTTATGATTATTTTTCTTTTTTGACCTTGCTCGACATACGACTTTCAGAGTCAAAAAAGTGCTCTTTGCCAAGAGAACACTTGTTCATTTTACTGCATTAATTGATAGCATATCCAGAGAGCTTTCTAAATGTGAAATAAAATTCCACTACCATGGGTATCCCTGGAGCACTACAGCGATTTTTGTCAAAAAATTGGTGTTTTTTTTATAAAAAAAATTTTTTTCACTACCAAAACTTTGTTAAAATTATACGACATGTATGCAAAAGTTATAGCTTTTGATGTAATCTTTAATATAAAAAAGAAATTAGTAACTTTGGTTGTGCTTGTGAAGACCTACACAAACGGAAGTATGACGAACACGTGGTTTTTGAGAAAAATCAAGTTTTTCACAAAATTTTCCAAAGTTTTTTGCAATTGTTTATACCTTAAAATGAAGGAACTATTTAAAGCTATTACCAAAAAAAAATTGAAGGAGATTCATCCATCCAGTGACTGGTGAGAGCATTTTCAATGTAACGTGAAAATGGTCGTCTGACCAACTTTGAAGTGCCATATCTCGGACATGCTGTCGACTTAGGCAAAGTTTTAAGGACGTAAATGTAGGACAGAATAAGGACTATCATATAAGCTGTAGAAATAATTTTTGGAAAAATTTTCCATTTCTGGCCCATAGTGAAGCGTAGTCATTTCACGTTTTGGTGTCGATTTTTTTGTCACTTGGTTTAAGGTATTTGTAGCAGTTTAATCATTAAATGATTGATTTTGTAACAAACGTAACCAAACATTTGGCAAATCATAAGTTTTGGCGAGTTTAAAAACTTTATTTGTAAACTTTATGTGCTCAATTTTAAAATTGATAAAGCAAATTATTATTTTAAAGAATCTTTCAGTTTGTTTGAGGTATTTGAATTGGCTCCAAGAACCAAGACGCTCTGCTGTGCCTATAAATGAAGAAGATTATTAAATTAATTGAAATTTTTGAAAATCACGAATTTTTGAAATAAAAAATCTAGATAATACTGACTGCGATCTCAATCCCAAGAAATTTGGTTGGAACCAGTCTTCCATAGTATAAGCCAAAAATGGGAATTCATCATTTCCTTCAAAAACCAAAACAACTTGTCTTGACCAAGTAATTCTATATCTGTTTCCTGCTCCGGGTGTGAAAATTCCTTGATTTGGGATGACAGCGACGTCTGTAGCTCGATTCCTAATAACTCTTATTATGTCAGCATTGAAAACAATCTCAATCATTGGAGTCCATACAAAATTAAAAGGTGTCAATGCAATTCTTATTTCTTGTTCTGAATTCACTTCAACATGCATGCCAGGGTTGAAACCAGGTACAAAATTGTAATCTACACCTGCTTCCGTTGTCCTCTCTGTGAATTACGATTAGATAAAAAAGCAACTTGAATTGATAATTCAAAAGAAAATTAATATTTTTCGTACCAGCACTGAATCCAAAATTTCTCATGCAGATTTCTAATTCTTGAATATTTTGTTCAATTCCATTTGCAAAATCCCAGAAGAACCTATCAATACAGACATTTCTATTTAAATACAAACTGTAAAGTCTGGATGCATCCCTCAAAAATCTCTCATCAATTGAATTAATCGCGTTGCCCTCAAAATCAACTTCTCGTAAACTCTGCATTGTTCCAAAAGAATTACGATTTATGGTTCTGATTCTATTTCCAAAAAAACTAAGAGAATTAAGAGCATTTAAATCTGTAAATGCACCAATTGGGATAGAAGTGATTGTATTGAAATCGAAGTAAAGTTGTACCAGTGCAAACTTCTCTTCAAACCATCGTGGATGTATACTTGTCAATTCATTGTAATCAAGAGACAAGTCCATTAAGTTTGGCAAATTATTAAATGCATCTGGAGATATATTACGTATCCTGTTGATCCCTATGTCAAGAACAAGAAGGTAAGGTGAATTTTCAAAACTATTTGCTGGAACTTCAGTTATTTCATTCCCATACAGAATTAAATAAATAAGATGGGGCAAATTACGGAACCATTGTGGATTAAAATTTCCAATGCTGCATGCAGCTAGATAGAGGATTTGAAGTTGTCCTAGATTTTCGAAGGCATCCGGATGAATTGTTTGACTTAATGGATTATTGTTCATATCAAGAACTTGAAGGTTGATTAAATTTCGGAACCATGCTGGATGAACTGTTGATAGTCTGGCACGATATAAGAAAAGTATTTTTAGGTTCCATAAATTCCTAAATACTCCATTCGGTAAATTCGTCAATGGATTGAAATCAAGGATAAGTTGCTCTAAAGCAAGCTGATTTTCAAGAAGATTTTCAGGCAAAGTTGTCAGCAAATTCCTTTCTAAATCAATTTCCAATAAATGTCTATTGTGGGTTAATAAATTTTCTGGAAGTTGTGGGATTCGGTTGTTATAAAGTCTCAAAATCTCCAAATTCCTACATCCTCTGAAAGCATTTTCACCAACTTCTTCTATTCCTAATGCAGCCAATTGGATAAGAGTTGCGTGTGGAAATTGCGAGCAAATAATTTGTGGGACATTACGAGTTACTGACAAATATCTTGCATAAACTATTGTCACAAAGACATTATTCATGCCAGGATAATGAGTTCCTTCAATTTGAGTAAAATTGTCCCATCCTTCTGGATTTTGGATGTTTAGAGTACACGAATATCTTGGATCACTTCCAATCCATCTCAATTCATATTCACAGCTGATAGATTGAGATAACGAGGAACTGACAAAAGCAAACAACACAATAAGCACTTTTATTCCCATCTGAATTGATCTATGGTTCAATATTGACTGAAAAAAAAAAATCAAAAGGAAGTAATAACCTTTAAGCATATAAACAATCTCAATTTAGAGTAATTAATAAAATTCTGATAAGATAAAAATTTTTATTGAATTTTAGTAAGTTGCAGTTTTATGAGGACAAATGCATTAGTTGTTATTAATGCTGTGTTTTGGTAAAAATAAAATAAAATGGAAAATTAGCTAGTTTTGTTGATATTAGTGGATTGATGCTAAGATTATTGATCTAGTTCAAACTCTTGTTTAAAAATCTGTAATGCCTTCAATTAGCTGAAGGAATTTGAAGTGGTTCTAAAAACCATGATGCTGTGCTGTGTCTGTAAAAGTGAAAACATTATTTAAGATGTCTCAAACCAGAAAGATAGAATACTCACTGCGATCTCAATCCCAAGAAATTTGGTTGGAACCAATCTTCCATAGTATAAGCTAAAAATGGGAATTCATCATTTCCTTCAAACACCAAAACAACTTGTCTTGACCAAGTGATTCTATATCTGTTTCCTGCTCCGGGTGTGAAAATTCCTTGATTTGGTATGACAGCAACGTCTGTAGCTCGATTCCTAATAACTCTTATTATGTCAGTATTGAAAACAATCTCAATCATTGGAGTCCATACAAAATTAAAAGGTGTCAATGCAATTCTTATTTCTTGATCGGAATTAACTTCAACATGCATGCCAGGGTTGAAACCAGGTACAAAATTGTAATCTACACCTGCTTCCGTTGTTCTCTCTGTGAAATGCGATAAGATATGAAAGTTGCTTGTGTGGTAAAATGTTGATAATGCTAAAGGAAATTAAATATTTTTTACCAGCGATAAATCCAAAATTCCTGATGCAGCTTGCAAATTCAGCAATATATTGCTCGATTCTATTTGCAAAATTTAAGAATGCTCGACTAATGCACATGTTTTGATTTAAGTAAATCAAGTTAAGGACTGAAGCGTCTCTTAAAAATCTTTCGTCAATAGAATTAATATCGTTTCGCTGTATATCGACATTTCTTAAATTCTGCATTGTTCCAAAAGAGTTGCGGCTTATTGTTCTGATCCTATTGCTCCATAAGTTAAGATTATAAAGAGAATTCAAGTCTGCAAAGACACCAGCAGGTAATGAAGGAATGGAATTGAAATCCAAGTAAAGCTCAATTAATTCTGTTTTGCCTGCAAACCATCGTGGTTGAAGACTAGTGACACTATTATAATCAATAGCCATAAATAGTAAACCTGGCAGGTTATCAAATGCACTTGCAGAAATTTCACTAATTTGATTGAGTCCCAAGTCAAGTTGAAAAAGATCTGGCATGTTGTTAAACATGTTGTCTGGAATTGCTTCTATATTATTCAAATACATAGATAAATAAGTAAGATGTGGCATGTTTCGGAACCATTGTGAATTTAATGTTCTAATGCTGCACTGAGCCATGAATAAATTACTAAGTTGATTAAGATTTTGGAAAGCATCAGCTGGAATTGTTTGATTTAAAGGAGTCGATGTTAAATCGAGAACTTCAAGGTTGATTAAATTTTGGAACCATGCTGGATGAATTGTATTTAAGCTTGCTTGGTACAGTCCTAGGACTTTTAGGTTCCATAAATTCCTAAAGACTCCATTTGGAAATGTTGTTATTGGATTAAAATCAAAGACGAGAATCTCAAGTGTCAATTGATTTGCTAAAAGATTTTCAGGCAGAGTTGTTAACAAGTTTCGTTGGAAATCAAGTTCCTTCAAATGTCTATTATGGATGAATAAATTCTCTGGAAGTCGAACAATCCTGTTGTTATATAATCTCAGCCATTCCAAATTTCTACATCCTCTGAATGAATTTTCATCAACATCCTCAATTTGAAGACTACTCAAGTCAATGTAAGTGACGTGTGGAAATTGTGAGCAAATAATTTGAGGAACATTGCGACTTACTGACAAATATCTAGTAACAACTGCTGTCACAAAGACATTATTTAATCCTGGAAAATGCTGCCCTTCAATTCTAGTAAAATTGTTCCATCCTTCTGGATTATCAATGGCTAAAGTACATGAATATCCATTATGACCTCCATAATTCCTTAAATCATAATCACAACTGATAGATTGTGATAAGGCAGACCCAAAAGTAACAAATAACACAAGGAACACTTTTATTTCCATCCTAACCGATTTAGGGTTCAATGGTGACTGAAAAATTGAAATAGAAAGTTATAAGCTTAATTTTTACAATCTTAAGCATGCACAATCTCTCATAAAGTAAGCAATTTTGACTTTTTTGATAAGATAAAAAAATTGTGTTTGCCAAAATGTAATATCAGGAAGGAATGAATCGACAAAATAAGCAAATATGATTATGAATCGACTTTAAGGATTAAATTTTATTTTTAAATGTTGCCTCATAAGGCTTTATTTATTTTCTAAATCTTCATTTACATAAGAATTTTCAATTTTGTGCTGGTATTTCTATTGGCTCCAAAAACCAGTCAGCTTGTGAACGTCTATTAATTTAGAAAAAAAAATAATATTAGCACTGCATCCATGATACTAGTTCAAATAATACTCACGGTGATCTCAATCCTACAAAATTAATTGGAACCCAGTCCTCCATTGTATAAGAAATGAATGGGAAAGCATCACCTCCATCAAAGACAGACACAACTTGTCTGAACCATGAAACTCTGAATCTATTTCCACCACCGGGTTTAAATGTTCCAAGATTTGGAACAATAGCGACTTGAGTATCTTGATTTCTAATAATTCTGACTGTATCATTATTGAAGACAATTTCAACCATTGGGATCCATGCGACATTAAATGGTGTAAGTGCAATATTGATTTCTTGCTGTGAGTTCACTTCAACATGCATGCCAGGATGATATCCATTGATAAAGTTATAATTGCTGCCAGCTTCTGTTGTTCTTTCTGTTTATAAAGATTTTTGATTAGATATTGATAAGCAATCACTTTGCTAACCACATTATGTCAGCACTTAAGTGCTTTTAACGTTATTGATAAATTTAATTTTAGACTTTCTTATCAAACCGAAAGAAAACTGTTTCAAATTGGTTTCAAATAATCTTTAAATAACAATATCGATTCAGATAGATTAGAGGAATTAAAAATAATGATCTGGATTGGAAGGTTTAAGCCAGAAAAGTTCAATCTTTCTAAAAGCTGACCCTAAAACTTACCAATATTAAATCCGAAATTTCTCACACATGTTGAGAACCTTTGAATATTTTCTTCAAGATTTCCAGCAAAATTGAAGATGAAGAAACTTCCGCATGCATTTTGAGTAAAGTAGAAGTAATACAAATTCGTAAGTTCCCTCAAAAATCTGTCATCAACAGAATTGACTGCATTTCCATCCAAATCAAGTGTTCTTAAATTTTGCAAATTTCCGAATGAATTGCGATTGATGGTTCTAATCCTATTATCCCACAAGCTTAGTGTCTGCAAATTATTAGATTCTGCAAAAGCTCCAATTGGGATGCTAGTGATTTGATTAAAATCGAGATAAACAAACTGCAAATTTGGTTTTCCTGCGAACCATTGTGGATGCATTCTAGTCAACCTATTTCTGTCCAAATCTATCTCAATTAGTCGTGGCAGGTTATCAAATGCATTTGGTGACACTTCAGTAATTGTATTGTTATATAAGTCGATTCTCAAAAGATTTGGTGAGTTGACAAGGAAAAGTGGTGGAATTGAAGTTAATTGATTACTGTACAAGTACAAAGATTGAAGATGTGCCATATTTTCCAGCCACATTTGATCAAATGTCCTCAAACCAGTTCTAACCAAATAAAAAGTTTCAAGTTGAATTAAATTTTCGAATGCATTTGGTGGAATCACTTGAGTAAATTCATTGTAGGAAAGGTCGAGGAAGTTAAGGTTGATTAAATTTGCGAACCATGCTGGATTAATTGTTGGCAAGGAACCAGCTCTCAAATAGAGAATTCTAAGATTCCATAAATTTCTGAAGATTCCATTTGGAAAATTGGTAAAATGATTATTGTTGAGATCTAAAGTCAGCAAGGCAAGTTGATTAGCAAAAAGATTTTCTGGAAGAGTTGTGAATAAATTTCTGTCTAAGTCGATGTATGTCAAATGTCTGTTGTGGATGAATAAATTGTCAGGAAGTCTTGGAATGCTGTTGCTGTATAATCTCAACCAATCCAAATTTCTACATCCTCTAAATGCATTTTCACCAACTTCTTGTAAGTTCAAGAAAGATAAATCGATGTAAGTCACATGAGGGAACTGTGAGCAAATTATTTCTGGGACATTTGGAGTCGATGAACCTGTTGTATTCCTTATGATTGCTGTCACAAACACATTATTCATTCCTGGGAAGTGGAAGCCTTCAACTTGTGTAAAATTGTCAAAACCATTTGGATTATCAATGCTCATATAGCAAGTATATTGTTGTCGGCCATTTAATGTCCTCAATTCATAATTACAACTTAATCTTTGTGACACAGAACATCCGATAAACGCGAAAAGCACTAGTAACACTTTTATTTCCATCTTTACTGCTTTAACGACCGCCAGTAACTGAAATATTAAAACGAAAGTTTAAACTTTTAAGTAGCCAATTAATCAACGATTTCTAAACTTTTCTGATAAGATAAAAACCTAGCTCAAGGCAAAAGGAAAATGCAGAAGTGAGTTATCGTAAAATTGATAAAGTATGATTAAAAACATTTTATTTTTGCACTTCAAACTTTTTAATTTGCTTGAGGTATTTCAATAGGCTCCAAAAACCAGAATCCTTGACTTCGTCTGAAATAAATAAATAGTCTAGTCATGGAGCCAATAAGGTTTTACATGCAAATACTTACTCTGATCTTAATCCCATGAAGTTGATTGGAACCCAATCCTCCATAGTATAAGCAATGAATGGGAATTCATCATTTCCATCAAACACAGACACAACCTGTCTAAACCAAGAAATTCTGAATCTATTTCCAGCTGCTGGTAAGAAAGTTCTTATATTTGGAACAACAGCAACATCTGTAACTTGATTTCTAACAATCCTAATTGTTTCCCTACTGAAGACAATTTCAAGCATTGGATTCCATACAACATCAAATGGGGTCAATGCGATTCTAACTTCTGTTGCTGAATTGATTTCTACGTGCATACCTGGATGGTATCCACGAGTGAAAATATATCCACTGCCAGCTTCTGTTGTTCTTTCTATTAAAAGATAATTTGTTAATGATTAGATAAGGTGGTGCAATAAATGTTGTTCAAAGTATTATGTCAGGATTTGAGTGCTTTTACGTCAAGGAAATTGGCAATATTAATCTATAGATAGCTAATTGATCCGGATGTGTCTTTAATTTCTGTTGTTTTGCTTGGTCTTAAAGTAATGGAGGATTAAAGTGGATGTGAGATAAAGGGTACGAAAATTAAGCTTGTTGATGGTTTTAAAGTCTGAATCCTCTAAATTATTATCAATAAAATTCTTAAGAACTTACCAGAAGTAAATCCAAAATTCGTTATGCAAGTTGAGAATTCTCTTATGTTGTTCTCAAGATCTCCACCGAAATCGAAGAACATATTATTGGCACAGCCATTATCAGAGAAGTAGAAATAGAACAAATTCGTCAGTTCCCTCAAAAATCTCTCATCTACTGAATTAATTCCATTTCCATCTAAATCAAGTGTCCTCAAATTATTCAAATTTCCGAATGAATTTCTGTTGATGGTTCTGATTCTGTTGTTCCATAAACCTAAATCTCTAAGATTATTCGCTTCTGCAAATGTTCCAACAGGTATAGCAGGAATTGAATTAAAATCTAAGTACACAGCTTCTAAATCTGGCTTATCCATAAACCATTGTGTATGAATTCTTGAAATTGCGTTCCTTTCCAAGCTTAAAATTGCTAAATTTGCCAAGTTGTCGAAAGCATTTGGTGAAATATCTTGAATTAAGTTATTTCCAAAGTCCACAGTCAATAATTCAGGTGAATTGACAAGAGCTTGTGATGGAATTGTAGTCAATTGATTGCCGTACATAAACAAATGTCGAATATGCTTAGAATTTTCAAACCAACGATGGTTGAAGGTTCTCAAGCTAGTTCTAGCTAAGTATAAAGTTTCAAGTGATATTAAATTGTAGAATGCATCATCTGGAACTGATGTAAGGTTTTGGTTGAATGATAGATCGAGATCCAATAAATTGAATAAATTTTGGAACCATCTTGTATTCAATGTCGGTAAATTTGCTGCTCTTAAGTAGAGATCCCGAAGATTAAATAAATTTCTAAAAACTCCATTCGGGAAGGTTGTAATTGGGTTTCTGCTCAAATCTAGAGTCTCTAATGCCAATTGACTGACAAAAATATTTTCTGGGAGAGTTGTCAATGCATTGCCTTCTAAATCAAGATACCTCAAGTGCCTGTTGTAGAAAAATAAGTTTTCTGGAAACTGAGAAATTCTGTTGTTATATAATCTCAGCCAGTCCAAATTTCTACATCCTCTGAATGCATTTTCACTAATTTCTTGAAGATCTAAGTAAGAATAATCAATGTAAGTCACATGAGGGAACTGTGAGCAAATTATTTCTGGGATATTTGTCGTTGATGAGTTGGCTGTATTCCTTATGATTGCAGTCACAAACACATTATTAAGTCCAGGGAAGTGGAAGCCTTCAACTTGAGTGAAATTATTCCATCCAGTTGGATTATCAATGTTCATATAACACGTATAATGCTGTTGACCATTAATCGTTCTCAACTCATAGTCACAACTAATTCTTTGTGACAGTGCGGATCCAGCAAATGCGAACAGCACCAAAAGCAACTTTATTTCCATCTTAACCTTTTAGAATCTCACAAATGACTGAAGAAATTAAAGTAAAAGTCAAGCTTTTTAAGTATGGAAATTGGCAATAAATAGAATCGAACCTAATCTTATGATAAGATAAAGTATACATAATAGAATGTAAGAGAATGAAATTTGATAGCTGTAATCGATTATTTCGATGCAAAGAAAAGTTTTGCTCGTGTTTACAAAAGGAAAGAAGTATTAAGTTTAATCTTAACTAAGCTCTTTTATTTGGTCGTGTGGGTATGGAAAAAGTTTAGGCATAGATAAAATAACACTGTGAAATTCTTAGAAATTCTTTTTTATGATCATAAAATCGAATTCATCATAAGGCAAGACGTGTGTCATAGGGGCCTTATAAGACTAAATCAAAAGTCAGTAAAATTAAACTTAAAGCTTCAATTAATCCATGAAACTAAGCCAAATAGCATTTATTCAAATAATATTCAGATTATTAATATTTTTCATTAATTAAAAAACTTAAACTTCTTGTTTGTTTCTGGAGTTTGGTCCTGGAGTTGGTGGAGGTAGTTGAACTGGTTCAAGCGTCCAAATAGCTTCACTTTCCCTAAAATAAAACAAATTCTTAATTATTCCAATCAATTTTTTAAGAATCATTCCTTACTGAGCCCTCAGTCCTAAGAAATTAACTGGATACCAATCCTGCATTGTATAAGCAATAAATGGAAAATCTTCATTAGCTTCAAATACAGAGATAACTTGTCTAGCCCATGTGATTCTATAGTAATTCCATGCATCAATTCTGAAATGTCTTTGAGTTGGTATTACAGCAACGTCTGTGTCTTGATTCCTCACAATTCTGATTGTATCATTATTAAAAACAATTTCAAGCATTGGGTTCCACACAAAGTTAAATCCTGTTAATGCGACTCTGGCTTCAAGCTGTGTAAATACTTCTAAGTGCATGCCAGGGTTCATTCCTTCAACAAAGTTGTAATTACTGCCAGCTTCTGTTGTTCTTTCTGTGAAAAATGATAAGATATGGATTTTAGGTTCACGCTAATAACATTCAGGTGCTTGATTGACATTATCAGGATTTATTTTGATAACATTGTTGCTGAAAATTGTCGCTTTAAAGAGGCACTTGACCGATAGTCGGATAATAATGTTTATGGGGCACAAGTGGCTTATTAAGTTATGTAAGTTCTTATAAAATTAAATAAATGTCTTTTTAAATTATTAAGTATTAATTAAGCACTAAGAGAAGCTTCATAAACTTACCAGTAACAAATCCAAAGTTCCTAATGCATCTGTCAAAGTATCTTATATTATTTGTAATATTATTAGCAAAACCAAAGAATCCAGCACTCGCACAGACATTATCATAGAAATAGAAATAATTCAATCTTATAGCGTCCCTCAAAAATCTCTCATCAACAGAATTAATTTGATTATCATCAAGATCCAAGTACCATAAATTTTGCATTGTCCCAAAAGCATTACGATTGATAGTTCTGATCCTATTAGACCACAAACTCATTGATCTTAGACCAGTCAATGGTGCAAAAATGCCAACTGGAATTGAATTTATTCTGTTGAAGTCCAAATAAACTGAATCAAGGTTGGGTTTTTCTTCAAACCATTGTGGACGAAGTCTACTGATTTGATTGTTTTCGAGACTTAAAACCATCAAATTTGGCATGTTTGCAAATGCCAATCTCGAAACTTCTGCAAGATTATTACTTCCAAAATCAAGTATATTGATGCTTGGAGAATTGACAAATGGATTTGATGGAATATGTTCCAAAAAGTTGTTATGCATAAAGACATAATGAAGATGTGCCATGGTTTGGAACCACTGTGCATTCATTGTCCTAATATTGCAATAAGCTAAATCAATACTTTCGAGGCTAAATAAACCACGGAATGCATTGGCAGGAATTGTTTGTGTAATTTGATTATCGGCCATGTCGAGGAATTGCAAGTTGAATAAGTTATCAAACCATCCTGGATTTACTGCTGATATTCTTAAATTTCTTAAGTACAAGAATTGAAGATTAAACAAGTTTCTGAAGATCCCTCTTGGAAGATTTGCAATTGGATTATTATTAAGATCCAAGGCCTCGAGTGCCAGTTGATTAGCAAAAAGATTCTCAGGTAAAGCAGTCAACAAATTCCTTTCCAAATCAAAATAGTTTAAATGTCTGTTGTACATGAATAAATTGTCAGGAAGGCTTGTAATTCTGTTGTTATATAATCTAAGCCAATCCAAATTTCTACATCCTCTAAATGCATTTGCATCAACATCCTCAATGCCTAAATAAGACAAATCGATGTAAGTCACATGAGGAAATTGTGAGCACAAAACACTTGGAACATTTCTAGTCGTTGATCCTGTAGTATTCCTTAAAATTGCAGTCACAAACACATTATTCATTCCGGGGAAGTGAAATCCTTCAACTTGTGTAAAATTGTTTAATCCATCAGGATTTTGGATCTGTAGATTACACATATACTGTGTATTCTGTCTTAATGAGTAGTTACACCTGATTGACTGTGACACAGAGGAACTGATAAAAGCAAAAAGCAAAACTAACACTTTAAATTCCATCATGACCGATTTTAGGCTCGACAGTAACTGAGGAAGTTAATTTAAACAGCAAGCTTTTAAGTATACAAATAGTCAATAAATTAGGCTATGACAAATCTTATGATAAGATAAAGACATTTTTTAAGAGATTAGATATAGAAATGCAAGAGGTTTAAGTATGATAACAGTTATCAAACTATGTGATGCAGAACGTGTAATGCACGAGGTACAAAAAAGGAAGGGCGAATTAAAAATAATCACGACATTTATTTTTTAATTTTCCGGCTATAATTTTACTTTATTCGATAAAGAAAATGTTTGGAAGCTTTGTATAAAGTCTCAATTTCTTTGTGGTATCTGGATTGGTTCAACAGCCCATGATGCTCGACTTCGTCTAAAAGATGATACAAAAATTATTAAGTATATTTAAATATTACTATAAATATTTCCTTACTGTGATCTTAATCCTATAAAATTAACTACAAATCGATCTTCCATCGTGTAAGCTATGAACGGGAACTCATCCTCATTCTCGAACACCAAGACAATATTTCTAGCCCAAATAATTCTGTAGCTATTCCAAGCACCAGGTCTGAAAACTCCTTCACTTGGAACAATAGCAGCTTGTGTGACTTGACTACGAATAATCCTTACTGTCTGATTACTAATCGCAATTTCAACCATTGGATTCCAGGCAATATCAAATGAGGTCAATGAAATCGTCACTTCCTCATCTGAATTAACTTCGACATGCATTCCAGGGTTAAGCCCACGAATAAAGTTATAATTGCTACCAGCTTCTGTGCTTCTTTCTATGATAAGATAACAAAAATGAAGTCATTTTATTATGTCAACAGTTTGGCACTTGAGATCTTTTTTGGTTAATTTTGGAAATGATTTTTGTCGATAATTTTTTATAGATTTTTTATCATTTAATCTCTAAAAGGTGCTTAAAACTTAATTAAATTAGTGCAGATAAATTAGGGAAACAGAAGTTTTAACTTACCAGACACAAACTCAAAATTCCTCATGCATCCCTCAAACTCTCTCAAAAATATTTCACGATTATTTGCAAAATTCAGGAACCATCCACTGGCACAGACATTATCATCAAAATAAAAATACATCAAACTTCTAGTTTCTTGCAATAACCATTTATCCACAGAATTTATCAAATTGTCATCCAAGTCTAAAAACGTCAATCTATCCAATGATCCAAATGAATTTCGGTTTATGGTCCTTATCCTGTTGCCCCACAAGCCTAGTCTTGTAAGGGATGATAGCTGTGAGAAGACACCAACTGGAACTGATGTGAGATTATTATAGTCGAAGTAGATTGAATCTAATACTGGTTTATCATCAAACCATCGTGGATGAAGTCTAGTCAGTCGATTAGACTCAAGACCTAATGTCTGGAGATTTGCAAGATTCGCAAAAGCATTTGGTGATATTTCTCTGATTCTATTGTTTCCAAAGTCAATATTAATAAGTCCAGGTGAGTTCATAAAGGAGTTTGACGGAATTGTTGACAATTGATTGCTCCACATAGACAAATAACGAAGATTTGTCAGATTTTGGAACCATAATGGATTAAATGTTGGAATTCCACAAGTATCAATGTTTAGTCTTTCAAGTCGATGCAGATTTTGGAAAATATTGGATGGAATGGTTTGGTCGATTGGATTTTTACTCAAATCGAGGTTTTGAAGGTTTATTAAATTTTCAAACCATGCTGGATTTAAGGCTGTCAAATTTGCTTTTCTTAAGTAAAGTATTCGAAGTCTCCTCAAATTTCTAAAAAGACCTGCTGGAAGGTTTTTTAAAGGATTTAATCCCGTGTGAATTATATCAATTTCTAATTGATTTTCTAGGAAATTTTCAGGCAATGTCTCCAAAGAATTACGTTCTATATCCAAATAATCTAATCTATTGTTAAGACTTAGTAAATTCTCAGGAAGTTCAGAAATTGAATTTCCATAAAGTCTCAGCCAATTTAAGCTTCTACATCCTCTGAATGAATTTTCACCAACTTCTTTTATGTTGAGACTTGTCAAGTCTATAATATTTGTGTTTGGAAACTGTGAACACAATATTTGAGGAACATTTCTAGTTGTTGAGTTAAGAATAATTTTAATAATTGCTGTGACTGAATTGTCAGTAAATCCTGGTAGATGATTTCCTTCAATTCTTGTAAAATTATCAAATCCATTTGGATTATCCACATGCAGGTAGCACACATAATTTTCACCCCTCAATTCATAGTCACAACTAATTGATTGTGAATATGAGGAACCAAAAATGGCAAAAAACACAATTAACACTTTAACTTTCATCTTCACTGATTCAAAGCGAGCAACTGACTTGATTTTTTTAAGGAATGTGATGTCTTTTTGTACTCAGACTGTCTGGCTTTCAAAACTTATGATAAGATAAAAGAAATTAATTTCAAGAATTAAGCTATTAGAAATCTTACTGCTTTCCTAAAGACCATTATCATTGACTGATATCACTTTTCTGAGTCAGTCAATCTACGTACTAAATTCTGCAGTATCAAAAGTTTAATTTGGTGATGACATACATTTTATTTCTATTTTTTATAATTTTTTTATAGAGTCGTGACTAGTAAACTTTTTAATTTAATTTCCTTGTGGTATTTGAATCGGCTCGATCACCCATGATGCTTGGCTTTGCCTTAAAAGAGTTAAATAAACAATTATTAATAATTATTCATAATTATTCATAATTCAAGAATTGCAATGGCTTAATTAGGGCCAGGATAGTTAAAATAAACCAGCTTTTATAATTTTAAAATACTTACTCCGATCTCAATCCATAGAAATGAACAGGGAACAAGAACTGCATAGTATAAGCCATAAATGGAAAGTCGTCATCTCCCTCAAACACCATAACTACATTTCTCATCCATGTAACTCTAAATCTGCTCCATTGACCTGGTATCAGCATAAAACTCGTCGGTACAGCAGCGACTTCTGTTTCTTGATTCATAATAATTCTTGATACACCGTTGCTTATAACAACCTCGATAATTGGATTCCAAACAATGTCAAACGATGTCAATGCAATCCTTACATCAGAGTCTGAAGAAACCATGAATTGCATGCCGGGTGTTATTCCATTGAAGAAGTTATAGTTGCTGCCTGGCTGAGTTGTTGATTCTAAGGAGATAAAATTTAAAAATTAAAGACGTGAACGAAAAGGAATTTAAAAGTAGGTACAAAGACTACAGAAGGCATCAAAGTATCACACCACTTAAGTGACATAATTCGCCATTATCGAAAATAATTTTTATAAATAAACTTTTCTTATCACTTCCACTGCAAAACCTCATTGCACAATCGACAAAAAAAATTCACTCAAACTCACCGATAACAAATCTAAAATTATTCGTACATCTCTCAAGAGCGCTAATGACGTCTGGTCGGATATTTGTAAAGTTTGCAAATGTTGCACTAGCACAGACATTGTCAGTCAATTGCAAATAGTATAATCTTGTAGGTTCTGTCAACAATCTTTCATCAAAAGCATTGATATTGTTGTGATCGAAATCAATATACCAAATGCGTTCCAAAGATCCAAAAGCATTACGATTTACTGTCCTTATGTTATTTCTCAACATATTAAGATCCACAAGTGACCTTAATGGAGCAAAAATGCCTGGTGGAAGGAGCTCAATTGAGTTGTAATCCAAAAAAAGAATTTCCAAATGTGTTTTGTCTTGGAACCATTGATGATTTAGAGTTGTCAGCCTGTTAGCTTCAAAACTTAAAACTACTAAATGGTCCAAGTTATCAAGACCGTCAGCAGCTACGTTAGAGATCTGATTTGATCCCAAATCAAGTAACAAAAGTTGAGATAAAGAAGCAAAAGCTCTTGATGGAATTGAAGTAAGCTGGTTGCTGTACAAGAGCAAGGATTCAAGATTAATCATGTTCTGGAACCAAGCTGGATTGATTTCTCGTAAATTGGTTCTCTCTAAGTGCAATTGTCTTAAGTTGAATAAATTACGGAAAGCATTTGCTGGAATTGGCTGAGTCAATGGATTAAATCCTAAATTTAAAAGCTCAAGAGCCAAATGATTTGCAAAAAGATTTTCAGGAATAGCTGTTAACTGATTAAATTGAAGATCAATATATTCTAAATGTCTATTCAAGCTGAATGTACTTTCAGGCATTCGTGAAATTCTGTTGCTGTAAAGTGAAACCCAATTTAAATTTCTGCATCGTCTGAATGCATTTTCATCGATAGTTTCAATTCCAATAACTGACAAGTCCATGTAAGTCACATGAGGAAATTGCTCGCACAGCACTTCCGGAATATTTCTAGTTTCCGATCCATGCACTCTGACAATTGCTGTCACAAAGACATTATTTAATCCTGGGAAATGAAGTCCACCAACTTGAGTGAAATTATTTAATCCATTTGGATTATCGATCCTTAAATTGCAAACATAATGCTGAGTATGCTCAAGTTCTAAAATACTATAATCACAGCTAATTGATTGCGATAATGTTGTGCCAAAAGTAGCAAGCAGCACAATTAGCACTTTTATTTCCATGTTTACCGAATTAAATTTCACAGCTAACTGAAGAATTGTAAGAACATTGCATGCCTTTAAGTACAGAATTATTAATTGCTATAAATTAGGTTTGATTCAAATCTTCTAAGCGATAAGATAAGAAAGAAGAAGAAAGTATTGGGAAAATCCAAAGGGGGTGTATCTTAATTGCAAATACGATAAGAACGATTAAGTTTATGACTTTAAGCAGATATTAAACTTCCAGGATACATAGGATTTTAAGTGATTATTTTTATTGAAAAATCCTTAATATTTTTGATTAATTATTGATTTCCAGACATGATTAAAATAGAATCAGGAATTCACATGAACCATAAGTGGTTCTCTGAATAGGCTAGACATCATCAGTTGGAATGGTCTCTACATAAATTGGAAGAATACTCCAATCAGCTTGACTTTCACTAAAAATAAATCAAAATAATTCAATAATTTTTTAAAAGTTTTAAGTTTTAAAGAACTTACGGAGATTGAAGTCCATAAAACTGTATAGGAAAAATATCTTCCATGCTATAAGCCAAAAATGGATATTCCTGTCCTTCCCTTGTGACTAAAATAATATTATTAACCCATGTGATTCTCAATCCAGTCCATTGTCCAAGTCTTATGATTTTTGGGCTTTGAACAACAACTACTCGAGTGTTTTGATTCCTTATAACTGTTGATAATGTATTGTTGCCAGTTCCAATGATGATTTCAATTGATGGATTCCATAGAAAGTTAAATGATGTTAAGGAGATGTGAACTTCTTGATCTGTTTTGACACGAAGATTGATTCCAGTGGTGCTTGGTACTTGAAAGAATTTATAAGGATGCCCTCTTTCTGTAGTTGTTTCTATTAGTCACAAAAAAAAAATCACTTAAATTCCATGAAGTTTTTTAGATTAAAAATTCAACTCACCAAAAATAAGTTCAAAGTTCCTGGTACAAATGTTAAATGCTGTCAAGTTTCGATTATTTCCAAATGAATAAAATCTATCGCTTATGCAAATGTTGTTATCTAAATGAAATGAGTATAAAGGACCAGCTTCTCTCCAAAATCGTTCATCAATCGCATTTATCTGATTTTGTTCAAATGAAGCAGTTTCTAAATTCTGAATATTCCCAAAAGCATCGCGATTAATTGTTTTAAGGTTATTTTGGTCCATTTTAAGTTGACGGAGATTATTAATTGGAGCGAAAATTCCATTTGGCAAGTTACCAATGTTATTGTCATTTAAACTCAATACTGATAGTTGATGAAGGTTTTGAAACCATTCGGGATTTAGATTCTCAATATTGTTCACTTCGACAATCAATTCCGAAAGCTGTGATAAATTATCGAATACATTTCCAGGAATTCTAGATTCTGTGAGTCGATTGCCACCCAAATGGAGATATTTCATTCTTGTTAGGTTATCAAATATTCCTTCAGGAATTGAGTCCAATAAATTGTTGTACGTGTTCAGTTCTTCTAAGTTTGATAATGATTTAAACCAGTCTGTATTAAGTTTAGTCATTCCGATACCTCCGATATACAATTGTTGAAGATTTGGTAGTTTAGAAAATGTTTCTGGTGCTATATTATCTCCTATTGGATTAGTATCAATAGAAAGTATCGAAAGGTTTCCTAAATTAGCAAATGCATCTTCAGATAAAGATGTGAGGTTGTTGTTATAAAGTGATAGTCCTTTCAAGTTGGGTATATTATCAAACCATGCTGGATTTATTGAATGAATATTGAGGCTTTTCAATACAATCATCTCCAAGTTAATCAAACCTTTAAAAAGTCCATCGGGAATGAATTCGATTGGATTCTCAGAAATGTCTAAATAATTTAAATTCACTAAGCTGTCAAAAATATTTTCAGGAATGATAGCAATTCTGTTGCTACTTAAGCGAAGTGTATTTAATTTAGTATTATGGATAAAAGCTCTTTCGTGTTAATCTTCGATGCGGTTAAAATACAACACAAGTTTCTTAAGATTCAAGCAGTTGCTAAAAGATTCCTCAAGGATTCTTTCAAGGTAGAGCATACCAATGTTAATTTCATTTATATTTTCAAATTGTGAGCACAATATTCTTGGAAAAACTGGCGATACTGAGTTTAGTCTCGATAAAATGTTTAAAACTTCTGAATCCGATCGACCTTCCAAGTGAGTTCCACCAATGGATGTAAAGTTATCAAACCCTTCCGGATTTTGAATAGATAATTCACAACTATAAAGGTATCCTTCAACACTTTACCAATATTTGTAATTACAGGAGAGACCTTCTGCAAGTGATGATCCAAAAAGTATCGAAATAACTATTAAACTTTTCAGTTCCATGTTTTTTGTATGAATGGCTTGAAATTACTGAATTCTGGAACAGAAATTTAGTGCATTTATACTAAGGAACAAAAGCAAAACAAAAAGTAATCACAACAAGTTGCATGTGACTTTCTTTCTTTAAAGTACTTTTAAAAAAATTGTGATTATTAGTCATGGGTTGTTCGAAAGATAAGGCGGTAGTCACATGTGGTAAGAGTTGCAAATTCTTTGGAATTGGCACTTAAATAAGCTTAACATTCAGTCTTAATATAGATTCTTAAATTGCAACAATACTTTTATTTATAAAGTAGCTTTGAGTTACAAAAAATTAATACAAGATAACTTCAAATTTAGACGCCTGTTGGCATAATTTCAGCTTCCACTGGTTGAATACTCCAAATTGCGTTGCTTTCACTAAAAATATAAATTTTAAAAAATATTATAAATTAATATCGCTATGTTATAAATCCTTACGGTGATCTCAATCCATAAAATCCAACACGGAAGATACATTCAAGATTGTAAACCAAAAATGGAAACGATTGACCCTCTCTAGTCACAACAATTGCATGATTAGCCCATGTAATCCTAAATCCAGTAAATTGACCAGTTCTTATAATGTTGGGACTATGAGCAACAGCAATTTGAGTGTCTTGATTCCTAATAATTGATGATAATGTATTGTTTCTAGTTCCAATAATGATTTCAACTGATGGATTCCATAGGAAGTCAAATGATGTCAATGAAATGTGAACTTCTGCATCTGTATTGACACGAAGTTGAATGCCAGGACTTGGTGCTTCGAAAAATCTGTAAGGTTCTCCGCTGACAGTTGTTGTCTCTGAAAATAAATTAATTCCATTTCTGACAATTCCATCAAAATTAAGCCCTCCAAAATAAAACAAACTTAATTGTTCCTTAATCGTCGGTAGATTAAAAAAGTCATTAGACATTTTGATGGCTTCTCATATCTAATCAAGCTTATTGACAGTATTTCCTTACCGAAAGTGCTTATTAAGTAACCGAAAAACATTTTGCTTACCAGTAATCCATCTAAAGTTGTTAGTGCAAACTGCAAGTCTAGGCAAGAAAGCCTCAAGGTTAGCTCCAAATGAGTAAAATCTTTCCCCACTACACAAATTTCCCCACAAGAACAGAAATTCTAAAGGTGATGCTTCCCTCAAAAATCTTTCATCGATTGCATTAATGACATTTTGCTCAAAATCAGCATAAGTTAAATTCCCAATAAATCCAAAAGCCTCACGACTTATAGTCTTAATGTTGTTTCCCCATAAGTCAATTTCACGGAGTGATGCAATTGATGTAAAAGTTCCAGCTGGAAGATCATTGATCTGATTGTAATTAAAATCTAAAGATGAGACATTTGTAATATTCCGGAACCACCGTGGATTAATCGTTTGGATAAGGTTGTAGTCAGCAATAATAACCATAAGATTTCGCATATTATCGAATAAATTAGCTGGAATTGCTGTGTCTGGAAGGTGATTTTTACCAATGTCAAGAACCAAAAGGCTTATCAAGTGATCAAAGCTTCTTTCAGGAATGGAAATGAACAAATTTTCTTGAATATAAAGCTGCTCCAAATTTGTTAAAGTCGCAAACCAAGCAGTGTTGATTGTTGTAATTCTGATTCCAACCATGTAGAGCTGTTCAAGGCTTGTCAAGTTTCGGAATATTCCTCCTGGCAAATTATCACCAATTGGATTTCTGCTGATTTCAAGCGAACGAAGGTTTCTGTTGCTGGAAAAAGCAGCTTCCGGAAATGATGTGATGTTGTTTCCATAAAGTGTCAAGATCTGTAGGTTGAGTAGTGGAGCAAACCAATTTGGAACCAATGTATGTATTCTCATTGACATCATATTCAAAACTCTCAAGTTCCCAAGTCCTCCAAAAACTCCATTTGGGATTGTAATTGTTGGATTGAGGGATAAGTTTAAATCTTGTAAATTCACTAAACCACTAAACACATTTTCTGGTAAAGTTGGGAGTCGATTTGCACTGAGATCAAGCAACATCAATCTAGTCATGTTAGTAAAAGCTCCAATATGAACTGTTTCAATTTCATTGCCAGCAAGCCAAGCAATTTGAACATTTATGCATCCAACAAAGCTGTTCTGGTTAAGAGTTACGATTCCCTTCCTTTCAAAATCAATATGAATTAGATTTGGGAATTGTGAGCACGTGATTCTTGGAAAAATTACAGTTCTCGATTGAGCTTGTGCATAAAGCAATGTAACATTTGCATTATTCCTGCCTGGCAAGTGTGTTCCATTTATTGTTGTGAATCCATCAAATCCAGATGGATTTTGAATATCTAAATAGCAAGCGTAATGGCTTACACCATCTCTGATCGAATCTTTATAGTCACAGGTAATAGACTGTCCTAATGATGATCCAAATAGCAGCGACAGCAGCACTATAATTTTCATGTTCATCCTTACACTTTAAAATGGCACTAATGACTGAGGAATTGATATTCATTTCTAAGTACTTTTATACCTTAGAAGTCTTAAAGAGACAACAACATGTCAACAGCGCGTGATAAGACTAATCTTCAAATGCTTTACAACCATAAGAAATGATAATGAAGTCACAAGCGGTAAATTAAAGCGGTTAATCCAGTATAATCTAATCTATAGAGCGGGAAAGGGGGTCCAATATGAGATAAATTTAATAACATTAAATGTGCTCACTGAAACCTTAAGGATGCTCATTAGCCATTTGGGTTTTTAATTCAAACTTCTTATCTCTTAGATAATTCTCAAATTAAGCCTTTTATTTTGATTCCAGTTTCTTCAGGTTGTTATCAATTTGATAAGTGTTAATGACATATTGGGGGCTATTGACTTTTAAACCTTAATGTTATGTTATTGAAATTATATCGACTCATTCAAGCTTCTGTGGGCATGATATCAGCTTCAACAGGTTGAATGCTCCAGACTGCACGACTCTCACTAAAAAAATTTACAGTTATAAAAAAATTCATAAATTTTAATCCAGTCACTTACGGTGATCTAAGTCCATAGAATGTAATTGGGAATATGTCTTGTAAGTTGTAAGCCAAAAATGGGAAATTCTGTGCTTCTCTCGTCACCAAAATGACATCATTTGCCCATGTGATTCTAAATCCAGTCCATTGACCTGGTCTGATGATGTTGGGACTACGAGCAAGTGCAACTTCTTGATCTTGATTCCTAATGATTGTTGAGACTGTATTATTTCTAGCACCAATAACTATTTCAACTGATGGACTCCATAGCATATTAAATGGAGTCAAGGCGATGCGAATTTCCTCATTTGTATTGACACGAACTTGAATTCCAGGGTTTGGTGCTGTATAAAATCTATAAGCTTCTCCACGTTCAGTAGCAGTTTCTGTAAAATTAATCATGAAGTAGGAAAAAGTTGGATAAGATTATTTTTACAATTGAAAACTTTCAAAAATATCTTTAGACATTTTAAGGGTACTTCAGATCTTATCAGACTATTGCGCAATATTTATGTCGCCTAAACTAGACTATGGTGAAATTGGTCAACAACTTACCGACAATAAATTCAAAATTTCGCGTACAAGTTGCTAATCTTGGCATGAATAATTCACGATTAATTCCAAAATTAAAGAACCAATCACTTGCGCATAAGTTGTTGAAGAAGAAAAGGTACGACAGAGGCCAAGCTTCATTTAAGAATCTTTCATCAACAGCATTAATGACATTACTGTCAAAATCCATAAATTCTAAACTTCCGATATTTCCAAAAGAATCACGGTTAACTGTCTTAATGTAATTTCCCCACAAATCAATTTCAATAATAGCTCTAAATGTTGAAAATAATCCAACTGGAAGTTCAATAATTTGATTAAAGTTGAGGTTGAGAACGACTAGTTCTGTCATTCTTTGGAACCATTGAGGATTTGGAGTCTGAATAAGATTATAGTCACAAATGAAATAAATTAAGTTTGGCATATTTTGAAACAAATTTCCAGGAATTGCTGATTCTGTAAGGCGATTGTCTCCAATATCAATTGCTAAAAGGTTTGTGAAGCTATCAAAAGTTCCTTCTGGGATTGAAATAAATAGGTTCGAGTAGATGTATAGAAACTCTAAATTGGATATTCCATTAAACCATGCAGTATTGATTGCTGTAATTCTGATATTTGCCATATAAAGTCGGTCAAGATTGGATAGATCTCTGAATATGTTTGCTGGTAAATTGTCACCGATTGGATTTCTGCTGATTTCTAGTACTTGAAGGTTCCTCATGCTCGAGAAGGTATTTTCAGGAAGGACTGTGATGTTATTTCCATAAATTGATAGTGTTTCCATATTTACTAGAGGAGCAAACCAATCAAGATTTATTTCATTTATTCTGCAGGTAATCAGGAACAAGAGTCTCAAATTTGTCAAAGGTCTGAATAATCCACCAGGAATTAATGTGAAAGGATTATTTGACAATTCCAGCTCCTGTAAATTCACTAAACCATTAAACACATTTTCTGGTAAAGTTGCAAGTTGATTTCTGTCAAGATCGAGATAACTTAATCTTGTATTGCTTGCGAATGCTTGTTCATGAATATTTTCAATCTCATTGTACCAAAATCTCAACCATTCCAAGTTGGCACATCCACTAAGTGTATTTTCACCAATTGTGACAACATCCATAAAAGTAAAATCAACATAAATTGAGTTTGAAAATTGTGAACATAAAATGCTTGGAAAATTGATGGTTCTCGAAGCAGATAAAATAAAAATTCCAGTCACATCAGCATTGGTTCTTCCTGCCAAATGAGTTCCAGTTACTTCAGTAAAATTATCAAAACCAGCTGCATTTTGAACATTTAAATCACAAATGTAGTGACTTTGACCACTAATCGTTGTATTTCTGTAAGCACAGTTTATGGATTGTCCTAGTGACGATCTAAAGAATAGCGACAGCAGCACTAATATTTTTATTTCCATCTTATTTGCTGAAAATTTCGCGAACAACTGAGAGTTAAGGAAATTTTTAAGTTCATTTATAATTAATAATTCTGGAATGGAAAGCGAATTGAGATTAGATAAGATTATTTTATAGATTACAGACTTTCTTAAATAAGGTTGTGGTAGGGTATGGATTAAAAAGCATATAAATCAATTTCGATTGGAAAAATTTTATTAAATAAAATATTTTTTCTTGAGGTTCATTGAATATTAATTATTTCTGAATTTTAATGATCAGACTGAACTTCTGTAAATCTTTATGACCTCAAACTTGACTCTTAATAGCTAAATTTAATTTTTTAATGATTCTGAACCATACAAATCAATTAAACGTCGATCAGAAAATCTTATTTTCTGATTGACATGATTATCTGAAAATCCCTGTAAGTTTGTAGGTAAAATATCAGCTTCCACTGGTTGAATACTCCAAACAGCATGGCTGTGCCTATGAAAACAAAATCAGAATTAATCTTTTCATCTAATTGAAGTAAAGACGTCATATCCTTACGGTGATCTTAATCCATAAAATCCAACACGGAAGATACATTGAAGATTGTAAGCTAAAAATGGATATGACTGTCCCTCTCTGGTCACTAAAATAACATGATTGGCCCATGTGATTCTTAATCCAGTCCATCGTCCAGGACTGATGATGTTTGGACTATGAGCAACCACAACTTCTGTATCTTGATTCATAATAACTGTTGATAATGTGTTGTTCCTAGCTCCAATGATGATTTCAACTGATGGATTCCATAGAAAGTCAAATGATGTTAAAGATATGCGAACTTCATCATTAGTATTGACACGAAGCTGAATTCCAGGGTTTGGTGCAGTAAAAAATCTGTAAGCTTGTCCAGCATCGGTTGAAGTTTCTATAAAGTTAATGAAAAAATGACTTGAGACAGTCTTAAACATTTTCAGCACACCACACTTACCGACAATTAATTCAAAGTTACGTGTACATGTGGAGAACCTTGGCATGAGTTGCTCACGATTGGCTCCAAAGTTAAAGAACCAGTCACTGGCACACAGGTTATTTCTGAAGTAAAAGAATGACAAAGGAGATGCTTCATTCAAGAATCTTTCATCAACTGCATTAATGTTATTGTCATCAAGATCAAAATATGTCAAATTTTGAATATTTCCAAAAGCATTTCTGTTCAAAGTCTTCAGATTATTTCCCCACAAACCAATATCGATAATGGATCTAAATGATGCAAAAACTCCTTCTTGAAGTTCATTAATTTGATTGAAACTAAAGTCAATTGAAAGAAGCCCCGTCAATCCTTCAAACCATTGAGGATTAATTGTCTGGATGAGATTATTGTCACAATATAAATACAAAAGATTCGACATATTTCGAAATAAATTTGAAGGAATTCCAGATTCAGTGAGATGATTGCCACCGATGTCAAGTCCTACAAGATTTCTTAAACTGTCGAATGCTCCTTCAGGGATTGATGTAAATAAGTTTGAGTAAATGTACAAAGTCTCCAACTTTTGGAGTGGATGATACCAAGCAGGATTAATTTGTGTGATTCCAATATCTGCCATTAAAAGTGTTTCAAGATTTGGTAGATCTACGAATGCATCAGCAGGCAAATTATCACCAATTGGGTTTTTACTGACTACAAAAATTTGAAGATTTCTTAAAGCTGCAAATTTATTTTCTGGCCAGGATGTAATGTTATTTCCATAAAGTGTCAATTGGAACAAGTTACCAAGTGTAGCGAACCATTCTGGATTTATTATATTAATATTAGACTGAATCAAATATAATCTTTGAAGATTAGTTAAAGGTCTGAATAATCTACTTGGAATAAAACTGAATGGATTGTTGGACATTTGTAGTTGCTCTAAATTCACTAAATTACGAAACAAATTTTCTGGTAAAGTTGTGAGTCGATTTTTGTCAAGATTTAGATATTTCAATCTTGAATTGTTGGCAAATGCTTGTTCATGAACCTGCTCTATTGTATTGTTCCATAATCTCAACCATTCTAAATTGAGACATCCACTGAATGAATTTTGAGTAACTTCAACTATACTCATGTGAGCGTAGTTAATATGAAGCATATTTGTGAACTGAGAGCAAATAATCCTCGGAAAATTGATAGTTCTTGAGGAAGTAGTAAGAAGCAATCCAGTCACATCAGCATTTGTTCTTCCTTCCAAATGAGTTCCACTAATCTCTGTAAAATCGTCAACTCCAGATGGATTTTGGATCTCTAAATTGCAAACGTAAAGTTCTTGTCCGTAATCAACTGTATCTGTATAGTTACAAGTCAAAGATTGACTAAATGATGATCCAAAAAGGAGAGACAGCATCACTAATTTTTTCACTTCCATTTTGATAGTTTTAACTGAAAATCTTGTCACAAACTGAAGACTAAAATGTGCTTCAGGTTCTTTTATAGGTCGATGTAATAAAGAAATATTTCATGCAATAATTAGGGGTTGATAAGATCTTATCTAAAAGAATAAGAAGAATTGTTGTAAAAAATTGATAACAATACTCAGCTACAAAGGTTCGAATCCAAAAAAAATGTGTCTAGTCAAAGTCAAGTGTTTTATTTTTTTATGCTAGATATTTGGAGCCTCGTGTTATTAAGTCTTGTTGTCAAGGTGGTAAAGGAGCAAAAAATTTGGATACAGCTATAAAAAGTCATGCAGCTGAAATTCAGATTATAGTGAAAATAGCGAAAATTTATAAATGCCGTTTAATAATTTACTGTTTTAAAGACGTCATTTAAGAATACCCCCCCCCCCACTAGATTTCGCATATGTGAGAACTTATTTTCGAAGAATTGCTGAGGCCGTTCACTTATGACGTCCATGGGGGGTTCAGCAAGAAAAGAACAATAGAAATTCCTGGAAATCTATTGTTTTTTTGAAAAATGACCGTTAATTTCGGACGTCATAAGTGAACGGTCCATGAGTTCCTTCAAAATGTTACCTGGAATAAATAAATTAGGAATTGCTAGAAAAAGTTATTGTCAGACAAACGGAGCGACACTGATGAACTGAAATATAGGAAAAAAGCTTAAATCTTCAAAAAAAAAAAATAAAATTAAAACCGAAAATAATTTTTTAAAATTTTTTTAAACTTTTATTATAAAACTTAATGCTACTCGAACTTTTAAAGTTTTAAAACATTTGTTGGCAAAAAGTCAGCTTCAACTGGTTGAATCGTCCAAACAGCACGACTTAGTCTGTAAAAAATAAACTCATTTAAATCTTTAATAACTTTAAATTCTTAAAGCATTCTTACGGTGAGCTTATTCCATAAAACTGCACAGGAAAGATATGTTCCAAGTTATAAGCCAAAAAAGGATAGTGATCTCCTTCTCTGGTCACTAAAATAACATGATTTGCCCATGTGATTCTCAATCCAGTCCATTGATCAGGTCTGATGATATTTGGGCTGCTAGCGACAACAACTTGAGTGTCTTGATTTCTAATAATTGTTGATAATGTGTTGTTGTTGGATCCAATGACAATTTCAACTGATGGACTCCATAAGAAATTGAATGGAGTCAATGCAATACGAACTCCTCTATTGGTATTGACACGAAGTTGAATTCCAGGATTTGGTGCAGTGTAGAATCTGTAAGCTTCTCCTAGTTCCGTGGACGTTACTAAAAAATTATTGAAAGCATTTTTAGATAAGATTATTTTTGAAAAATTACAAAATCTTGAGACATGCTGCCTTTCAGACATTTTTAAGTGCCTTATCTAGCTATTAAGCTATTAGTCCACACTTACCGACAATAAATTCGAAGTTACGTGTACAAGTAGAGAACCTTGGCATGAGTTGCTCACGATTTGCTGCAAAATCATAAAACCAGTCACTGGCACAAAGATTGTTCCTAAAGTAAAAGAATGACAAGGGAAAGGCTTCATTCAAGAATCTTTCATCAACTGCATTAATGTTATTGTCATCAAGATCAAAATATGTCAAATTCTGTATATTTCCAAAAGCATTTCTATTCACGGTCTTCAAGTTACTTCCCCACAAGTCAATCTCTAAAATCGCTCTAAATGCTGCAAAAACTCCTTCTTGAAGTTCATTGATGTGATTGAAATTAAAGTCAAGTACGATTAATTCTGTCAATCCTTGGAACCATTCAGGATTAATAGTCTGAATGAGATTGTAGTCACAAATAAGCCACAACAAATTTGGCATGTTTCGGAATAAATTTCCAGGAATTGCTGATTCTGTGAGGTGGTTAGCACCAATATCGATAACCAGAAGATTTCTAAGGCCATCAAAAGCACCTTCAGAAATTGATATAAATGAGTTTGAATAAATGAACAGAGCTTCCAAATTTCCGAGCGGCTGGAACCATGCAGGATTAATTTCTGTGATTCCAATATTTGCCATAAATAATTCCTCAAGATTTGATAAATCCCTGAATGCATTAGCTGGCAAATTGTTACCAATTGGGTTTCTGCTGATTTCAAAAGCACGAAGACTCCTTAAATTTGATAATGCAGCTTCTGGCCAGACTGTGATGTTATTTCCATAAACAGTTAAAACTTCTAAATTGACTAAAGGAGCAAACCATTCTGGATTTAAAGTTTCGATATTAGCTTGAACCAAAAATAATACTCGCAGGTTAGTAAGAGGTCTGAAAAGACCATCAGGAATAGTTGTAAATGCATTGTTTGACAGTTCCAATTCCTCTAAATTCACTAAACCATTAAACACATTTTCTGGTAAAGTTGTAAACTTATTTCTCTCAAGATCGAGGTATCTAAGTCTTGTGTTGCTGGCAAATGCTCGCTCATGAATATTTTCAATCTCATTGTACCATAATCTCATCCATTCCACATTTGGACATCCACTGAATGTATTTTCATTGATTTCAACAACATCCATAAGAGCGTAGTTGATATGAGCGAGATTTGGAAATTCTGAGCAAATTATTCTTGGGAAGTTGATGGTTCTAGACGAAAATGTGAGGTATAATCCAGTCACATTAGCATTTGTTCTTCCTTCTACATGTGTTCCATTGATTTCTGTAAATTCATCAAATCCAGCTGGATTTTGGATATTTAATGTACAAACGTATCGTTGCTGTCCGAGAACAATTGAGTCTGCATAGTTGCAAGTCAAAGACTGTCCAAGTGTAGTTCCAAAAAATAACGACAGCAGCAATAATATTTTAATTTCCATCTCGATGGTTTAAAGTTCTTCGAATAACTGAGGACTGAATTGGCTTTCAATTAAATTTTATAGTTTTGGCAATATACAACTGTCAGCATCGATAAGATAATTAAGCTTATCAAATTGAGGAAGAAGAAGAAAAAAAAATTTTGAAATTTTTCTTTGCTTTTCCCAAACATCACGCTCGTACTCTAGCTTATCAAGTCTGATTAGAAAACTTGATTTATTAACAGGCACAAAACTCCAAGTTTAATAACAAATACTTATATTTTTGGGGAGTCATTGTCAATGTCTGCTTTATCAAAAGCTACTTATAGCCTATAGACTAGTTTAAGATAAGTGACTGTATATGAATTGAGACATAAATGATCTAGATAACATCCACAGATGGACAATTTGTATTGACATAAAAGGAAGCCAACAAGTGCCATTTTTATCAGCCTCACTTGAATTTTCTTAGAATTTCAGCAGGATATAGACCTAATTGAATACCTAGAAATTAAACTATAAATAAACTAGCCTTCAACATGCTGCCTGTAACTCCAACAATCAATATTAATTCATTCAATGCCTTGCCAAAATGAATTTGTCTTCAATAATGCAATAATTAAATCCACAAGTCACACTTAAGTATCAAGCTGAGACTAACAAGAATGAGAAAATTTATGTGACATAATCTGAATGAGTATCACATTGCTTATTGCTTACAGAAATTGTTGATGAATCAAATGCGAATTTTTACATAAAAATTATTTTCTTCTTCTTTGTGGCGTCGCAACGATGAACTTTGAAGAAGTTAACAAAATATGCTGCTGCAGTGATTCGTAATGGGGTTATTCGTGAGTGATGTGAACAGTCAGAAGCTGAATGGCAATATGCTTAAACATTTTAGCACTGACAAGAGTTGGAGGGTCCTAAAACTAATGATTTTTGCTAGATGTAACTTATGAACGACCCTATTTACTGTTTTTTCTCAAAAATTTATGAAAAACGGCAGTAAAAGTCACGGATGCAATAATTTATGTATATTCTCTCTCTTGTTATTTTTAGTTTTTATGAAATTCCTCCTCTTCCACTATTCACAGCAGTTTCAAATGCACAAAAACTACAAGAAGAAGATTCTTTTACTCTTCTCACTCATACGATAATATTGAATGCAAAAAGATTGTTAAGAAGAAGAAGAAGAAGTTGCACAGATTCACATAAAAAAACTGGTTTTTAATTCCTTCTTCATGGTTCCAGAGATTCTTTCTCTCTTTGAGTTGTTTTCTTTTCAAATGGACAGCATTTCATAATATTTGTGGGGTCGAGGGGTGATAATTTGATGGAAAATGGAATTGAAACTGTCTCAATGTGGATGAATTTGTGATTTTTAAGAATTTTTGTTTGTTTGATATTTTTCAATCGTAGAAAGCTTTTCAAAAAATCTAGCGACTAAAACAAGTGAAGTTTTAAATTTCCTCTCAGTTTACTTTAAATCTTTGATGCATCAATATGAGTTCTAATAAAATTTACATTTTTCATTCTAGTTTGTACATAAAAATCATTATCAAGTGAAAGCAGAAGCCGTTTTTTGACGTAGACTAAGATTGGAAACGGAGAAGAGTTGAGAAGTAAGTGTTCATTATTACATAGAATAGCCTACGCAATTTATATAATTTTTTATCATGCAATTCGAAACTAAGGACAAAATTTAAATATCAACAGTATTTTACCCTACAGGCTAGGTTGTTTCGATAGGCTTTAGGTCTTTCCTTTAAAGTTCTTACCCCTAAACTGAGCTCGGTTCCCAGAAGTGCATTTAGCGTTATCAGGTGCCACCAAGAGAAGGTATGCACTTGACATTTGCACAGCTTTGGAGTCAGACTTCGGCTTCCTCCCAGGGGCTTATACGATTTCATCGTGCTGGCTTTTCTTTCATCTCCATACAAAATTTGAATGAAAAGATGAAAATAGATAAAATTTTAATATGAAAAGATGAAATCGTGTCAATCTCTGGGCTTCCTCAATCCCTTATCAATAATAGGCTAGGGGGATTTTCTATGATGGCCTCAAGATTGGTTCTCATCCAACTGAGGTAAAAATGATAAGAATAAAGGTCCATAAGCAAGGGTGGAGCTTAAAACTCTTAATTGAATAAGTCAAAATCATCAACTTCAAAAAAGAATTCCTTAGCAATGATGCAGTGCATCCCTAATCTCTAAATAATTTTCTATCAAAATCAATGACATCCGTTCCCATAAAAGCAATTCAACAAAACAATTCTCATAAAAATTCTTTATCTTCCATAAAAAAAATATCTTCAAACAACTATTAAAAGTAAAAATCTCACAACAAATTTCCCATAAAATTCTCTCAAACTTCCATAAAACCTCCATACCTTGTCGCTTAAAAAAACAAAAAAAAACAACAGTAAACCTGTGTGTATCTGCATCTCAGTCTCTAAAAAAAAATAAAACGAACATAAAAAGCGCAATAAAGAATTTGCAAACGATCCAAAAAAACACCCATATAAATAAAAAAAAGTACATGTTGATGCTTGAAAGAGCAGCGATACCAAGAAAAATAAAGAGAATGAAAAATATCAGCACTGCAACTCGGCTGTATTTGGCGCTTGACTTGACTTCAAATATCAATATATAATGTGCACATTTTACAATTCAATATCTTTTTTGGTGTCTTTGAACTTTTCAATTTATGCTGTAAATGCGATTTGCTGATCGTTTGAAAAACTGTAAATGGCTCAAGGTGATTTTGTCAGGTGTAAATTTGTTGAATGAATTGACAGTTTTTTATTGCTCTAGGTGCGTACTTTTACATTGATTTGATTATAGAAGGGAATTAAGAGACAATTGCTGATTTTGTGTCATTTGTTGGATCTAATGGGGGTTAATTGAGGTTGTGTGTGACTCTTAATGGCCAAGTGAGGCATTTTAGGCATATATCCCTAGCAGTAATTTCCTAGTAATTTACTGGATAACTTTCCATTTGCTACTTGCTATTTACTAATCAAAATCCAAGTTCAAATCATCGCCAAAGACCCGCATTTTCACTTGCTAATTGACTAGTCAATTCGCTTATAATTTTACTAGAAATTTACTAGCAAATTTTGTAAAAAAATTAAATGAATATAACCGTTGATTTTCACGTGTTCTATTGATTTTTCTTATTTGTGTAAATTACAGAGGTCGAAGTCGATGAAGCAAACTCACTTCACTTCACTAAAATTTTAATCGGTTTCAAGTCAGCTCGAGTGAACTCATTTTTTTCGTGTTCACTCGAGTCGACTTTTAACCGAGTTGATATTTTCGTGTTCACTTTAGTCGACTTGAAACCGACTTGATTTTATTGTGTTCACTCGAGTCAACTTTTAACCGAGTTGATTTTTTCGTGTTCACTTTAGTCGACTTGAAACCGACTTGAGTTCACTAAGGAAAAAAAAAATGTAATATACCAAACTGATTTCTGCTAGTGCTTGTGAAGTATATGTGATTACATACAAAATTGCAGAATTTGTCCTTTTTTACTTTTCATAACCATAAAGCAAACTAAACGAATTAATTTAAAATATTTTTTTGATTTCATATATTTTATAAATGTTTTGCACTATAGATTATTTTTCTGATTTGAAATTATTTATTACGAACTGCTACAATTATGAATGAAATTATTTTAATTCACACCATATTTCCAAATTTGGTGAATATATTTTAATCTCATATTTATTTGTTTGACAACATTGATATATTGATAAGTGCACTGAATGAATCGTAAATTCTATTTTTCTTCTCACTTGTTTTTAATTTCACCATTAAATATAACACTTTTTTTTAATTATAGAGTTAAATTTCTTTAAGGTGCAAACATAAATAAAGAAAAAAATTTAAAACTTGAATTATAATAAACTGGAAGTTTGAAAAATATTTTAAATTAATTCGTTTAGTTTGCTATATGGTTATGAAAAGTAAAAAAGGACAAATTCTGCAATTTTGTATGTAATCACATATACTTCACAAGTACTAGCAGAAATCAGTTTGGTATATTACATTTTTTTTCCTTAGTGAACTCAAGTCGGTTTCAAGTCGACTAAAGTGAACACGAAAAAATCAACTCGGTTAAAAGTTGACTCGAGTGAACACAATAAAATCAAGTCGGTTTCAAGTCGACCAAAGTGAACACGAAAATATCAACTCGGTTAAAAGTCGACTAAAGTGAACATGAAAAAATCAAGTCGGTTAAAAGTCGACTAAAGTGAACATGAAAAAATCAACTCGGTTAAAAGTCGACTCGAGTGAACACGAAAAAAATGAGTTCACTCGAGCTGACTTGAAACCGATTGAAATTTTAGTGAAGTGAAGTGAAGTGAAACGACTTCACTTCACCAACTTCGACCTCTGGTAAATTATTGTAAAAGTATTAGTGTGTACTAAGTTAAAGTACACTAACACTATGAAAAAATAAATAAAAGACTTAATTTAATTAAGTCGAATACTGATGAACGGCCATGACTCGCACGTAAACCTGAGCAAGATAAATAATTAATTGAAAGTCACATACAAATTTGGATCGAGCTAATAAAGGTGATTTCTGCGCGCTCTTGTGAAGTATATGGCAAATGCCAAATTAAGAACAAAATTTTTTATGACGCAAAAAATTTTTTTCATGACGCAAAAAATTCTTTTCATGACGCAAAAAATTCTTTTTATGACGCAAAAAATTCTTTTTATGACGCAAAAATTCTTTTTATGACGCAAAAATTCTTTTTATGACGCAAAAAATTCTTTTCTTTACGCAAAAAATTTTTTTTTGACGCAAAAAATTCTTTTCATGACGCAAAAACTTCTTTTTATGACGCAAAAAATTTTTTTATGACGCAAAAATTCTTTTTTTGATGATTTTTCGTAAGATTCGAACTTAATCAGATTTGATCAAACATTCCACATGGTAATTTGCTTTTAAATTGCAAGTGTAATTTACTAATAGTAAGTTGTTTTAATAATAACTAGTAAATTGCAAGTAGTAGAATAGAAAGACTAGCAATTTGCTAGTTAGTCTTGCTAGGGTATGTGGCTATGAAGTGACATTCTAGAGTTTGTGGGATTAAAAGCTATTTAAGCTATTTAAGCTATTTAAGCCTATTTAAGCCTGAATGACCTCTAAGGGGGTCAATTAGAGCTCACTAGGATCAAATGAAGTTCTGGAGAGTAAAATCAAGTTGTCTTAAGTTTAATTAAGTTCGAATCAAGGTCAAATATAGCTTCAAAATTCACTAAAGATATAAATTTCACCAATCTCCTGACTAAATCAAGAACACGTTCATTACGAAACTCCATTGATTAGATATATCTCCGATACTTCAAATTCCATCATAATTATACTAATATTGTACCATTGTTGATTATAATCACTCTGATGAAAACAAGCTTATTTCATATGATAATGTTTATGGAACACAGTAGGAAAAGTGAGACACTTAGACTGAAAATGAATGGTGAAAGAAAAAGTAAGATTGACGAGATAAATATCATAAAAAATTTGATATGGAAGTGAAAGAAATATCGTTACAGAATAAGCAGGAAGTAAATGTGTGAGAAGTCAACAAAAATGTGTTAAAAAATAATTTTTTTGAAAATAATGTTTGAGCAAAAAATTTTCATAGAACCAGGAAAAAATTTGCATAACTAAAGTTCGTTAATTTAATCATTCACGGACATTCTTAATTCGTCTGCTAATTTATTTAAGCTTTTAATCCTCGTTCTTTCGTTAATTATTGCTCTTTGTGTAGATTAGACTAGGTGTGGATTGCTTGTGATTTATATTATCGTAAAGTTGATTGTTGATTTAACAATTTGCGTTTTTTGAGGAAATAAAGTGACTCAAAGGTCATTTTTGAACTAAATCAAGACCTGCAAAATTGTTGAAAAATTACATTTGATCTTTTTAAACAGATTCATGCAAAACTTTCTTCCAAACTTTAATTCCAAAATACCGACCATTGTTAATTGCATCAAAAATGGTATAAAATTTCGTTGTAGGTTCAAGTTCGTGATAGAAATCGGATCGAATGATTGATGGAAATCGTGAATTTTAAAAAGATGAACTTTAGTGCATTTACGATTTATTATGGAAGTCGCGGATTAAACTTGCTTAAAGATTAATTTCAACCTTTTAGAAATCGTTTGATTCATGAACTTGGGAGGTGCTTAATGTTCATAAATTCATGAGAAATATTAAGAAGAAAATATTCATGAAAATTTGACATTAAGGAAGTATGCAAAAATAACGACAATTAATTCAAAACTACACGCATGTGCCCTACAATAAAGCTTTAATTCTAATTTTATTCACCAGATTAAAATCAATTTTAATTTTATTCGGACCTTAACATTCAACCTTCGCAGCATAAGTCAATTCAAACTGTTTTATACTTCGTGGGATCATTATTAAGTGACGTTTGTTATTATTATTATTAGACAAATTATTGAATGATCTAAGATCATGATTTGAAGCCATGCTTCTTTAACCCGTTAATTACGGAATTTTTTTGGGACATTAGAGTGCATTTATTTGATGAAATGCAGTAAAAAAATAAATTTGACGAAGAATTTGACTC